GCAAGCATTATGTCGTTTCGGCCCGTATCAAAAACTTGTGATTTCAGAGTTGGTAGGCCGATTTCCAGGGGAAAGATTGCCTGGGTTCCAAAGCATAGAGCAAACGGCGTTTCTCCAGTGGATTTCCTCGACGTAGTACAGTGAGCCCACAATACACTCGGCAATTCTTCGACCCATTTGCCTTTAGCTTTTTCCATCCTCTTTTTGTTGCCATCCAAGATGGATTTGTTAGAGGTTTCGGATTGACCATTGCTTTGGGGGTAGGCCGGTGTAGAGAAGTAAGGCCGAATGCCATATTTGCTGCATAACTCTCGATATACGCCACAATCGAACTGGGTGCCATTGTCTGAGATGAGAGCTCTCGGAATACTGAATCGTGTTATGATGTTTCTCCATACAAAGCGTTTAATATCAGCATCTCGTATATGTGTTAAAGCCTCCGCTTCGACCCATTTTGTGAAGTAATCTGTTGCGACGATTAAGAATCGCTTGTTCCCTAGGGCCCTCGGCAATGGTCCTACGATATCAAGTCCCTACTGAGCAAACGGCCAGGGGCCGGTGATAGAGTTCAACTCTTCAGCAGGCAGATGGGTTAATGGGGAGAACTTTTGGCACTGTTCGCATTTTTTTGCATAACTCTCTGCGTCAGCTCTCATTGTCGACCAATAATACCCCTGTGTTATAGCTCGATGGGCCAGGGAGCGTCCGCCAGAATGGGCACCACAACTGCCCTCATGTATTTCTGTCAGAAGCTCCTGCACTTTGTTGGGGTGCACGCATTCTAAATATGGACCGGAGAGGGACTTTTTATAAAGCCCTCCTTGCGGATCCAAATAGTATCGCAGGGCTTTATTTCACAGCTTGTGTGCTTCTTTTTTGTCCTCTGGGAGTTGTTCAGAAGAGAGGAATGCAACAATGGGGTCCATCCAGCTTGGTGCGGATTCTATAACGTTGACATGGATTTCCTCCGAAAGGCCAATACTTGGCTCCGGGATGAAACCTACTTCGATGGTCCGTTTGATCTCAAAATTGATGGCGGAGGCTAGGCACGCCAAGGCATCCGCGTGTGTGTTCTGGTCGCGTGTTATTTGGTTCAGTTCGTGATGGTCAAATTTTGCCAGCAAGGAATTGGCCGTTTTCATGTAGGCCGCCATACGGTCGTTTCTTGCCGCGTACTCCCCCTTTAGCTGACTGATTACAAATTTTGAATCACAAAACACAAGCAGACGCCGAGCACCGAGAAGGTGCGCATTCTGTAGACCGACTAGAAGGGCTTCGTATTCGGCTTCGTTATTTGATGCTTCGAAGCCAAGCTTGACGGCCTGCTCAATTACTGCGCCGTCTGGAGACATGATCACAACTCTGGCGCCGCTGCCCCTTTGGTTAGACGATCCATCATAGTATAATTGCCAAATATCCTCGACATAAATTCTTCAGTTCGGCTTTGGTCGAACTTCAGCCTTTGGTCGAACTTCGTCAGGTTTGAGGTTGGCAAGCTCGCCGGTGAATTCGACAACAAAGTCGGCCAACACCTGCCCCTTGATTGCGGTTTTAGGTAAAAACTGAATATTGTATTGGCCGAGTTCAAGAGCCCATTTTGAAACACGTCCTGATGCTTCTGCACTCCGTAGTACTGATCGGAGGGGATAATCTATTAGGACCCCAATGCTATGTCCCTGGAAGTAATGCATCAGTTTTCTTGCAGCCATGACTAGGGCTAAGATGAGTTTTTTCAGCGGAAGGTAGCGTGTTTCGGCATAAACCATTGCCTTGCTCACATAATACACTGGTCGTTGCTCCCCCTCCTCCTCTTTTAGCAGTATGGCACTGACGGCCCTATCGGAAACTGCCAGATATAGAATGAGCGGGTCACCAGCGACGGGTGTTGTCAAGAGAGGTACTGAGCGGAGGTAGGTCATGAGTTTGTTGAAAGCTGTTTCGCATTCGGTGGACCATTCAAAAGCCTTACCCTGCCGTAGTGTCTGAAAGAATTGTCGGCAGCGATCTGTAGACCGGCTAATGAACCTGTTGAGTGCAGCGACCATCCCCATCAACTTTTGGACTTCTTTTGCTGAACGGGGGGAGCCGAGTTCCAAGATTGCTGTGACTTGCCTCGGGTTGGCTTCGATTCCTCGGTGATTGACGATGTAACCCAGGAATTTGCCAGAGCCAATTCCGAATGCACACTTGGAAGCGTTCAGTTTCATTCTGTATTTGCGTAAGATGCTGAATGTCTTTTCTAGATCGGCTATATAATTCTGTTCTTCTTTGGACTTGACCACCATATCGTCGATGTATACTTCCATAGTGTGGTCGAGTTGCTCTTTGAACATGGCGGTGACCAGTCTTTGGTAGGTTGCCCCTGCATTCTTTAGCCCGAAAGGCATAACTTTGTGGCAGTAGGTTCCTCTTGGGGTGAGGAATGCGGTTTTGTCTTGGTCATCTGGATGCATGGCGATTTGATGGTAGCCTCAGTAAGCATCGAGGAAGCTCATGCGTTGATGGCGTGCCGTCGCATCGACAAGCTGGTTGATTCTGGGTAGAGGAAAACAGTCTTTGGGGCAAGCTTTGTTCAGATCCGTGAAATCGACGCACACTCGCCAAGTCCTATTTTTCTTCTTCACCACCATTGTATTGGAGAGCCACATAGGGTAAGTGACTTCTCTAATTGCCCCGGCGTCAAGCAGTCTGTCTACCTCCTCAACAACGGCGACAGTGTGCTCCGCGGCTGACCGTCGGCCTTTCTGAATGATCGGCTTACATTTGGGATCAACATTCAGATGGTGCTGTGAGACTGACGGGTCTATTCCTGGCATTTCGTACGGAGTCCACGTAAAGACATCGAGGTTGTTGAGCAAGAAAGAGATCAGCTGCTACCTGTCGGCCTGATTCAGAGAAACACCGACCATGAAGAACTTTTCTGGGCTTCCATCGATGTCAACTCGGTCTAAACCTTCCGTGGCCTTCTCATTTGGATACCGCCCAACGTCATCAAGGATCTCCCGATTCGGCACCTCAATGGAGTTTACTTGCAGTTCCGTTGGCATTTTGGCGGCAAGGAGATAACATGCTTTTGCCGATTTCTGGGAGCCGCGGATTTGCTCAATGTCGTGTTCTGTTAGGAAACGTAGCAGTTGATGATATGTGCTTGGGACGACCTTCAAGGTATGCAACCATGATCGCCCCATGATGAGATTGTACGGCGATGGCAGCCTGACGACCAAGAATTCCACATCCACCATTCTGGAACCTGCCCGAACGGGTAAGCTGATCTTTCCCAATGGGTACTCTGGATTGGCATTGAAGCCGAATAGTGGATAAGGAGCCGGAGTCAGGTCTGACTCGTTGAATCCGAGTTTGATGAAGGTTTTATAATACATAACTTCCGAAGTACTGCCCTGGTCGATAAGAATGCGTTCGACGATGAACCAGTTTACGCATAGCTCAACAACCAATGGATCGATGTGAGGGAGTATTAAGCCGATCAAATCAGAGTCGTCAAAGGTGATACTTGGCGTTTCTTAGAGCCGCTTTGCTGGCGTGAGTTGCTACTGGGGGCCTAGATGGGATTGGATCGTATGCACGGCCGGGGCTGCTGGCAGGCTATATATCATGTGGATGGTGTCAAGCGGAAATGCATCCTTCGGAAGGGGAGGTGTTTTGGTTGCACTCCTCCGGATGCATTGTTGGAGACGTTCGTCCTTTGCCAACTCCTTAAGATGATCTGTTGAGGCATAGTGGCAGTCAGTTTCTTGCTGTCGGGCTCGAGATCGCCGATCATCTGCCCTCGGGGGTCGTTCATAAGCCTAGCGCAATGTTTGTTTGGATTTTGCTATTTTCGAGGCCAGATCGCGACGAAGGCGTTCGTTCTCAGCGATGATGTCGTCCAACCTCTGTTTGGTTTGCCTAGCTTGTGCCATGGTCGCTTGTATCGTCTTTTGCGTTGGGTTTGAAGATGGGGAGAGGTCCAAGGCAAGTCTTCCTGCAATGGTTTTTGGTCCAAGCGAGTTTGCTGGAGTGAGGTCATCTCTCTATGTGGTCTCGTTAATGGCTATCGGAGGATCTTCAGTCACGCCTGCCATGGATGTATTTGAGTATTTCCACAGACGGCGCCAGTTGTGGAAAAGTGGTTTGGAAATACTCTTTAGATCTTGGGAGACGCTAATGATCCTCAGCTAGTCACCTGAAAAGATACAAACACTCTGGTCGGGGGTGTCGGAATTAGCACTCCGACGGACAAGTTAGTTCAGACACTCAAGACAGCTTGTTTACTAAGTTAAGTGAAGTGATTCTTACATACCTTGTATTTATACTTGCTTTTTGGATCTCGGGGCCTGAGCCTGCTTTTATCCCATTTCCCTTTTATTTATTCGGAGCTACTGATCTCCGGCTATTTGGCCTTACTAACGTATTCGGCATCCTAGTCACGCAATATGGAGCCGAATAATATCTGATTTCTGGGGTACGTACCTTTCGACTATTCTATTTATTCGGCTCTCACAAGCTTAAATTGACAAAATTAAAAATGTAAATTTTATTTTATTATAAAGGTCAAATTGTAAAAAATTTTATAATAATTTTTATAAAAATAAATATTTTGAATTTGGATCCTCCAATCTGCAGCCTAAGAATTGAATCGCAGGAAAGCCAAGTCTATACCTATTTTGGAAAGTAGATTAACAGTTCAGCTTTTAACTTTTTCTTTAAAAAAAATGTGTAAAAAAGGTAAAAAAATAATGTCCTCCAAAAAATTAAAAAACTAACTTCTAACCCAATTGACAAAATAGACATATTTATACATCTGTATCTATTATATTATATAAATCAAATGGTTATGACTTTTTTAGAGTTAAAAGTCACAATCTATTTTTATCATATATTTTTAATCATTACTACACTCAATATACACACATCATTTTGTGATTAGATCAAAATTCAAATTAAATTTAAGTTCTCACCATTATTGCCAAAAATATATTAATATGGAGCAACACAATGTATAAATTTTGCAGAAAACACACTTCATCAAATACCTTAATTAACTTAATGCAGTACACAACACATTCATACCCTCTTCTTTAATTACATTAAAAAAATAAAAACAACCAAACTAATTCCACATATTATGACATTTTAGAACTCCATTAATGCAGTACACAACACATTCATACCCTCTCCTTTAATTACATTAAAAAAATAAAAACAACCAAACTAATTCCACATATTATGATATTTTAGAACTCCACTATGATTTTCCCTGTAGCATGACCATCCATAATCTTAGCCCAAGCCTCTTCAGCCTTACTCAGATGATACTTCGAGTCTATCACTGTCTTAAGCTTCCCTTCCTTCACCAACTTCACCAGATACTCGAGGTTCTGAGCTTTGGGTACTAAAAGCAGTGGCACAAGCTGCTTCTTAGAGAATGTGAGTTTCTTCATTGCAAAAGTCATCATGGCACTCGGACTGGGAGTCAAATCAATTACCTTCCCATTTGTGCTCAGACTAGGCTCGAAAGTAGACCAAGGAAAGCCCATGGCGCAGTGGATGACAGCATCATATTTCTTGCCCGATGGGCTCTTCAGAGCTTGCCCCTCAGGTGTTTTGTAGTCGATTACCTCATCAGCACCCAAGCTCTTCACGAAACCGATGTTGCGGGCCCCACAAGTGGCCGTCACATGCGTGTTTCCGAGCTTTGCGAGTTGAACCGCATAGTGACCAACGCCGCCAGAAGCAGCCGTGATCAGAATATTTTTTGTCGGGCCAGTTCCGTCGAGCTTGACCCCTGCTGGTTGGGTAAGGGCCTGGTGAGCTGTAAGAGCAGCAACAGGTAAGCTCGCGACTTCTGCTGCTGATACCTCAGGTGGCTTTGGAACTGTCAGAGTCTCGCTAGCCACGGCAAACTCAGCTAGTCCACCTCCACTCTGCGCTTCAGTTCCATGAACAATCAGAAACAAAAATGGGGCGAATTAACCCCTTAAATCCTAAGGGATATTTTTATATCAAATCTTAGTATTCTCTCTCTATAATATATTCAGGAGACCGAGATTAATATATAAGAGGAAGACAATGTCAAAATAACAAGGGAAAACACTTTAAAAAGCAGTATAAATTACATGGACATATCACTTCAACACCCTCAACTTTAAAACCGTAAATTTAGACCCCTCAACTATAAAAAACCGTAAAAATGACTTCCTTCTGGAGGGGTGAAAGTGACAGAATTTTAAGGTAATATACGGTTTTGAAGTAGAGAGGGACAAAGTGATATTCAATGATAAACATTATCCTTTCCCTAAGGCTTTGCTTGGCTAGAATGAAAACACACTAGAGAATGAAAGTACAGGTGAATGAACGAAAAGTGAAAAGAAAAATGACTTTACGATATGTATTTAGTTGGGTAGAAGTCTTTATAGAAAACTAAAAGAAATAAGATTTTATTTTTTCAATGGTAGGAAAGTTAAAAAGAAAATGAATTTAGTTTGTCCAAACTAGAGTCCTAATTTCTCAAATGTTTTTCCCCTTCTTGCAAACCAAAGTAATATATATACCTATGCTTTCAAGTTTCAAGCACTCTCTGCATAATCAAAGGGGCCTAAAGATTTTGGACCTGTTTAGGTCCTTGAAGGTTTGCCATCCATATTGTAACAGATGCATATGGAAAATGTTTCTAAAATGTCCTTCAATTTCTGCACTGAAATATAATTCTCTTCTGGAACGCATACAATGTTTTCAGTGGCAAAAACACAAGGCAAGGATATCTATGCCCAACAAGGGGCAAAATCCAGACAACCAAGAAACAGGAGAAATTTTAGAATCAAGTTACCTCATGATTAAAGCATAAAGATGGTGAGAAAAAGAAAAACAAAACTATTAAGAACCTCAGGCTCATAAGGCAATTGCCCAATAACACTCAGGCCCAGTTTTTGGGTAAGTGCATGATGTTGAAGTTCAAAGCTTCAAGGTAAACCGCCTCACCCAGAGGGGAGCCTAAAAAAGGACTTGTGAGCCTAAAAAGTATTTATTTAATGATGTTATATTCTCCTTGTGAAACAAACAAGTTGTGATCATGCAAAGCTTTTTAACTACAAGTTTGACTATGCGGCTTTGTCTAACAGTGAAGAGACACGTAACAAATACTAAATAGAAAGGTGAACAGAACATGGCATAAATGACACTTACAAAATGACTAAGCACAGCTACAACTTTGTCACCAGCTTTAAATTTTGTGACTCCAGATCCAACCTCCACTACTTCTCCTGCTATATCAGTTGCTGTTAACCACAAGAGAAAGAAAGAAAAAGAAGAAAAAAAATCAGCCAGAAAGTAACCTGCAATTCTTCGAAGGTTTACATTATAAATTCCCTAGGCTATAAATAATACATTACACTTGAATGCAAGAAAACTCCTTCAGATGTAAGACATGTACTGGCCAACAAAACACAGTTAAATCAGGGGAAAAGAGAGTTTTCAATTCCATGTAGAATTAAAAGAGTCATGAATCAATCACATGTGACATGGGTATTAAATAGGAGAGAAAGCTTCTATGAAGAATGGACACTCCAAAATCAGTGCCGTGGCGGTGTCCGACACGGGGACACGACGGAGACATGTACGTGGCGTGTCCCTTTAATTTAATGATTTTTTTTGTAGGGGACACAACGGGGACACACGTGTCCATATGGGGACACGACATTGGACACGGCGGGGTATTTTTTATTTTATTTTAGTCCATATGGGGACACGACATTGGACACGGCGGGGTATTTTTTTTTTATTTTTTCTTTTGGCTCTCTTGTTTAGTGCTTTTATGAAGAATATTGTTGGATATTGAATGTTTTCTACTTTTCGTCTTAGTTCTTGTTATCGTTTATTATGACTTTTTTGTGAATGGATGATCTATTAATTTGTTTAAATGTAGTGGTTATATTTATTGAATTAATGTTACTATGTTAGTGTTTGTTAATTTTGATTTAGGCTGAATGTAATATGAATCTACATAACACATAAAAATATATAAAAATAAATAAAATAAAATTCGCCGTATCCCCCGCCGTGTCCATGTCCCTATTTTTTGAAAATTGTTGTGTCCCGAGTCTGAGTCCGTGTCCGTGCTTCATAGGAAAACTTTCGGATTATTTGTGAACTACTGAATTTGTAACAATTCTAGAAGTTTTTAATATCCCCTTCCAGTTAAAAATTTCATTGCTTTCCCCTATTCATTTCAATCCAGAAATTTCCCCCAATCATGGTGATTCCAAGAGGACAACCGTGTGGAGAATCTGGTGATCATTTCAAGGATACAAAAAATCATGTGGATGTGAGAATATTTTGTGTAACTTACAACTATTATGTAAATATGTAATTATGAAATGCTATGTAAATATGGAATTAGGTTTGTATTTCCTATTCTAGATTAGAGTTAGGATTCCTATAAATATTGGTTGTAATCTTTGTATTATTTACAAGTTGACTATACAATTCATTCAGAAATACTTACATTGTATCAGAGCTTGGTTTGAAACCCTAGCTTGCAGAGTCGAAACCCTAGTAGCCGTGACCCCTCTATTCAGCCGTAGCCTCTTTGTTTAGTCGCAACCTATCGGCTGTAAATCGCGATCAATCATCGCGCCTGCTTTATCGTGTCTCTCTCAGTCCTTGTTGGCTTCGTCTCGGTTCATCACCGCGACTCCTTCTCGCGATTATCTGACTCTGGTTCTCTCTCTCTCTCTCTGTGGCTCTCTCTCGGCTCATCTCGGTTCATCATCGCGACTCTCTCTCGTTACTCTGGTTCTCTCTATCTCTGTCTCTGTGATTTGTTATCAATGCTATTAAAACCCTTATTTCTGTTTGGCCTATTTATTAAGTTATTAGTATACTTGGCTCACTTATTAAGTTATTAGTATACTTTGACCCATTAATCTTTAGTTTATTACAATGACGGATACCAAAATTCAGGCCATCAGATGTAAATTCACTGGTGCCAATTATGCTTATTAGGCTAGTGTTATGAAGAATTTCCTTCTTGGTCAGAAAAAATGGGGCTATGTTTCTGGTTCTGTTCCTCGTCTATTGGACTCGAAACAAGAAGGATATCTGACTTCCTGTGACACTTGGGATTATGATACTACCCAAGTTCTGACCTGGTTTCATAATTCTATAGATGACCGTATTTGAATGATGTTTTCCAAATATAGTACTGCTAAGGAGGTGTGGGACTATTTATTGGATGTGTATCAATAGTCTAACTTTGCCAAACGATATGAGTTGGAAACAACGATTCAGAGTACTCGTCAGCGGGATCAATCTATTCGGGACTTCTACATTGAGATGACAGGTCTCTGGGATCAGTTGGCTCTCATGGAACCATCTAGTCTTAAGGCACTAAACGCTTATGTTGAGTTTCGATAGCAAGGTCGCTTAGTACAGTTCTTAACGGCTCTCTCCCCTCAGTATGAGGCTATCCGTGATGGCATCCTTCATTGGTCTCCTCTCCCCTCTGTAGATGCTATTGTTTGTGACCTCCTCTTCGAGGAAACCCATCTTAAGACGGCCAGTCAGACTCTATCTCCTTCAGTTTTCTTAGCATAGCCACCCCTATTGGCGACTCCATCTGCCTCTCAGCCTTAGTCTTCTGCCAAGGTCAAAATGGGGCCCTTAGCATCAGACGAGTGTGCTTTCTGCCATAAAAAAGGTCATTGGAAGTACAATTGTCCCAAGAAGAGCCGTCAGTCTGCTCAGCCGTCTCAGCAACAATTTCGAGGTCCTACTCCGAGTACTTTTTGCCCTCCTGCTGCTTATACTGCATCTGCTCCGGCTTTTAATCCTGACTTGGCTTCCTCGAGTGCCCAGATTGTCCAGCATCAGTATCTCTAGTCCACCTCTCAGTCATTTTCCTCTGCCTCTACTCTCACCTCTCTTCATTTAGGTTTGCTTGGATCCTCTTTAGGTATTTCTTCCTCTGTTTGGCTTTTTAATTCTGGTGCCTCTCATCATATGACTCCTTACCTTTCCTTACTCCAAAACTATATCCCCCCTCCCGTTCCTATTATTATTAATACTGCTAATGGGTCTGGTATGTTTGTCCTATCTATTGGGTCTATTTTACCCTCTATCCTGTCTGCTGTTACTATTCCCTCTGTTCTTTATGTTCCTTAATTGTCAGTTAGCTTGCTTTCTATCAGTCAGCTTGATACTTCTGGTTTTGATGTTATATTTTCTTCTTCTGTCTGTTGTGTGTAGGATCGGGTGTCCAAGAAGCAGATTGGGACCGGCCGTAAAGTTGGAGATCTCTATGTAATGGAAAGCCTACATCTTCCTCTGTTTACCTCCCCTGTTGCCGTTTCATCTTTTCAGTTAGATTCTCAGTCGAGTCAGTTTTATTTATGGCATTCTCGTTTAGGTCATTTGTCTGTTGACTGCTTGCGGTCTTTAGCCCAATTAGAATTGTTAGGTAAAGTTTCTCCTAGTCAAATTAATGAGTGTGGAGGATGTAAACTTGCTAAAATGACAGCTTTACCTTTTAATAACAATACTTCTATTTTTGTTTCCCCTTTTTCTCTTGTCCATACTGATGTTTGGGGCCTTTCTCCTGTTCTAACTAAAGGGGGTTCTGCGTACTATGTGTCATTTGTTGATGATTGTACCCGCTATACCTGGGTTTATCTTATGGCTCATAAATCTGACTTCTACCAAATATATTGTACCTTTCAGTCTATGATCACTAAATAGTTTGAGGCCACAATTAAAATACTCTAATCTAACTTGGGTAGGGAATACTTTAAAATTGAATTCTATGAGTATTTGGCCAACTTAGGCACCATTCACCAAACCTCTTGTACTGATATCCCTGCCCAAAATGGTTGTGCTAAGCGTGAACACTGTCATCTCCTTGAGACAACTTGATCTCTCATTCTCTCTGCCTCTGTTCCGGCACCATTTTGGGGTGAGGCAGTTTTTACCGCTGCTTTTCCTTAATCGCATGCCGACTCCCCTACTCTCCAGTCAATCTCCTTATAAGGCTCTGTATTCTCAACCTTCCACTTATTCCCTCCTGCGTGTCTTTGGTGTTTTGTCCTCCTTCCCCCTAAAGATCGAACCAAACTCAGTGCCCGGTCTGTTTTGTGCGTCTTTTTGGGCTACAGTCTTACTCAGAAAGGCTACCGCTATTACGACCCTGTCTCTCGTCGCCTCTATGTTTCCCGTTATGTTGCCTTTCTCGAACGTCTGTCTTACTTTCAGCTTCCCTCTTTCACTGCTTCCGTTTCCAAAGAGGATTTGGTTCACATTGACCTCTTTCCTTCTAAGGTCTCATCAGATGAGTATGTCGCCAATGTTCCTCCTAAGGCCATTCCTACTTCTCCCTCTATATCACCTATGGCTCCTTCTTCTCCTTCGGCTGCTTCTTCCCCTCCGTTGTTGGTCTATTCTCGTCGCAAGACTCCCCTATCACCAGTTGTCTCTACTCCTGTTGCTGTTCCTTTTGCTTCTAACGACTCTGATCCTGTTGCACACTGCTATCCTCCTCGTGAGCATCGTCCTCCAAACAAGTTGGGTTGGTCTAATGCATGTTTTTCTGCTTCCTATCATATTTTTTTTGTCTATTATTCACTCTTTTTTAGAAACTCAGTCTTATAAGGATGTCTGTCAGGATCCTCATTGGGTTCAAGCTATGGAGGATGAGTTGTCTGCTTTACAGAAAACTAGTACTTGGGAGTTGGTTCCTTTGCCTGCTGGTAAGAATCTAGTTGGTTGCAAATGGATCTACAAAGTCAAGACTCATTCTGATGGTTCTCTTGAGCGCTACAAAGCTCGTCTGGTTGCCAAAGATTTCTCACAGGAGTATGGTATTGATTATGAGGAGACATTCACTCTTGTTGCCAAGATGACTACTGTCTGTTCTTTGATCTATGTCGCTGCTGTTCGTTCTTGGCCTCTTTATCAAATGGATGTTAAGAATGCTTTTCTTAATGGCTATGTCACTGAGGAGGTTTATATGCGTCCTCCCCCTGGCCTTCACTATTTCTCTAGATAGGTTTGTCGCATTCGGTGTGCTTTGTATGGTCTAAAACAATCTCTTTGTGCTTGGTATGATCGCTTTCAAAATGCTATTACTGAGCTTGGGTTTCATCCTTTTGCTTTCAACTATGCTTTGTTTTTTAGACATACCTCGGCTGGTTTTGTTGCTCTCCTACTCTATGTGGATGATATGATCATCACTGGCTCTGACTCTTCTGCTATCTCTGAGGTCAAGCAACATTTCTTTCACACATTTGAAATGAAGGATCTGGGTTTATTGCGGTATTTTCTTGGTATTGAAGTTGCCTTTTCTCCAAAGGGCTACTTTCTGTCTCAAGCCAAGTATCCTAATAAAGTTATTCACCGTGCTTGTCTTACTGATACTAAGGTTTCTAATACACCTATTGAGCTTAATGTGAAGCTCAACTCTACTGATGGTGTCTCTCTACATGATCCCACGATCTATCGCAAGCTTGTGAGTTGTTTAATTTATTTGACTGTCACTCGCCCTGATCTTGCTTATGCTATTCATGTGGTTAGTCAGTTCGTTTTTGCTCCTCGCTCTACTCATTGGGCTGTTTTGGTTCGCATTTTTCGCTATCTCCAGGGTACCATCTTTTAGGGTTTATTATTGTCCTCTACTTTCTCTTTAGACTTGGTGGCCTATGCTAATGCTGATTGGGCTGGTGATGTTAATGATCGCAAGTCTATCTCTAGTTTCTGTGTGTTTCTTGGCGATTCTTTGATCTCTTGGAAAAGCAAGAAACAAACTGTTGTTACTCGCTTTACTGCTGAAGCTGAGTACCGTGCTATGGCTCATGCTACTGCTAAGTTTGTTTGGCTTGGTTGCCTTCTCTCTAATTTGGGTGTCCCTCAACCTTCTTCGACCTCTCTCTATTGTGACAACTGCAGTGCTATTCAAATTGCTCACAATACTGTCTTCCATGAACGGACGAAACACATTGAGATTGATTGTCACTTTGTCCGACAGCATCTGCAGTCTGGCTCTCTCTTGCTTCCTTTCGTCTCCTCGATTTTGCAACTTGCAGACTTCTTCACCAAGACTCACACTACTGATCGGTTTCAGTTTCTTCTTAGCAAATTCTCAGTATTTTCTGCTCAAACACCTTGAGTTTGAGCGGGGGTGTGAGAATATTTTGTGTAACTTACAACTATTATGTAAATATGGAATTAGGCTGCTATGTAATTATGGAATGTTATGTAAATATGGAATTAGGTTTGTATTTCCTATTCTAGATTAGGGTTAGGATTCCTATAAATATTGGTTATAATCTTTATATTATTTACAAGAATCAATATTTTGAGGGAAATATCTGTTATAATAGTTTAACAGAGCTGGTTTGAATGTTAGACTGAAAATACTACAAAGATAAATTTAAACTCACCTCCCTACTTAGGAACATTATGTCAATTCAACTCGGAGATAGCACTATACTTAACAATCAATGTGTTAGGTTTTTGTAATTGGCAATCCCGTTTGACAAAATTCATTTCAGTTGTAATTTTATTAGATCTTTTATTTCAGTGAGGCTATGAGTATTTAGATGTGAATCCAACTCGAATTGTGCCTATGCAGAGGAATTTGTGATCTTAATCCTATTATGTTTGCCACTCCGTTGACTATGTTGGGGATCGAGCTGCCTGGTCAGCTCGTGGGGGTTCTAGGAGGCAGCGCCCGGGCGGCGTTGAGGGGCAAAAAGCAAAATTGCAGTCGAAGTTGTTTGACCACTGGAGCGACCATTCCTGCATTCGAGCGAAGATCGCGACCTTTCAGAAGTTTCACTTGTCAGCAAAAGTACTGGGAGTTATATTTTTACGCTTGAGTGGCCTTTCCTACGCTTGAGCGTAGATCCTTGTTCTGAAACACGCATTTTAGTCAAACAGCTCGAGTGGCCATTCCTGCGCTCGAGCGGAGATCGCAATTCTATTTGCTATAAATTTGCAATTAATTCAGTTTCTAGGGAATGGCTTCTAGATTTTCTTCTTGGGTATTAGGGTTTTAATCTGGAGCTTCTTTGCTTGTTTCCTTTGATATTTGTTAGAGTTTATATTATGAGTTGAGTGGATTATATCAAATGGTTTGTTTATTTTGTTTATTAAAAAAAAAAAGAGTTATTCTTCAGTGGATTCCGTGGAATTTGGGCCCGAAACTTTGGTGGATTCCGGAGTGGCTCATCGTTGTGGATTCGATATTAGCGTTATGGATTCAACGTTGAACAAGACAATTCCGAGGTGAAGACAGTGGTGGAAGAGGCACATTGGGGTCGGTTCAATTTAGGCGTGGATTCGCCAAGTAATTGAGAGTACACTTGTGTAATTCCTTTTGTCTTTTTAGTGGATTATTTTATGGCTTTGACCCGTGGTTTTTATCACAATTGAAGGTGCTCCAATTGTCGTTTTTTCATATTAAAATCGTTGCGTCGATTTGTTTTTGATTGTTTGATTGAGATTGCTATTTACTGGTTAAAATTGATACGTAATCACAAATCAATATCTCGGGGATTTTGAATTTTTCACAATGGTATACAAATGTTTCTCCTCAGATAATATAAAGTTTTTATTAATAAGAGCTACGCTTGTATAAAATATTGCTGCCTCTTTTTAGTTTAAATATATATTCAACTAACATCACGCCACATTCAGGTTCCAGCTATGAGGATACAATGAAGAAATCAGATTCTCCATGACAGACATGCAATTAATGCCACAATGAGGGTCCATTTCAGGGGGAAAGACATTCTAATAACACAGCAGAACAAATTATTCGATTTGTAAGAGTGAAGGATAAAAGGTCTCAGATACAATGAAATAACAAATATCCAGCTTTAAAGTTGAGGCAAGACATAATTCAGCTAGGAAAACAAAAGATAGGTATTATACAAGCTCATAAAAGAAAAAGTAAGAAATAATTCAGGTATGGATTTAGACTACACATCAATGAAGTTACCAGGTATGCAAGGAAATTTGCGAGGAAAAAGAGGACGCAGGATGCCTTTCTGAATTTTCCAATCAACTGGATTTAAGCTTGTTGCTTCCAGTTTTAGCAAAACCTCGCCCTTTTTTGGAGCAGGAACAGGAACTTCGACATGCTGCAAGATGCATCGAGTGCAACTTAAAACCAATTGGAATGGTGGCAAATTCATTACTTACAGTGAATCCTTATTACTTCAGGAAGCATTTATAAGATTAAATAATTATGGATAACGCAACCAGATTTTGACCTCAAACTCTCTTAACTATATTTTGAAATCTTTTGGCTAGTTTAATGGTCTTCTATTTAGACCAGGCTTACTACAAATAAATTCAAACTATTGCACATGAACCCACCTCAGTTTTTACATGTATTATGATCCATGTCTACATACTCAAGCAATTCAACTAACAACAACTAATCTTACTACTAATCAGGTTGCATCCAGTGAAGTAGATTGAACAATTGAAGCTGTGTATAAATAACTACGAAAATCCTACTTTTGGGCAATAAAAAATCCATTTGGTAAAGCATTTGTTGCACACATGTACATATGAAGTTTGGAATTATTTGCATATTTAATCAATAAACTTGATTACTTGAGTAACTAGACCTCTGTTGACATGGTGATATAGATATAACTTTTAAAAGAAAAGGCTTTATGAGCATTTAGTCACACCTAAATTTTGGATGGTTAGAAGCAAAGTCCCTGTCCAGGTTCAAGCTCCATTCACAATATAGAATTATCTAAAAGGAAATATAAGAGGGCCTTACTAGAACCACATGTTGTTGATCTTTAAAGCAGGTCCTTCACTTATTTAAAATCAACATATTGGGCAGATCATTAAGAAGATTTCGACTCTGGATACAGCATTCTGTGGAATTTATAGGCATTCCCACTAATTATATACTGTGTGTCATCTCTTTCTTGTAACTATCAGGTGAACAAGTTTTCTATAGGATTCTCTGTCTCATAGGGTTTGTAATTCAGTATAATTGCAAGTTTGTGATTGTTATGCTGCCAAATATGTGATTATTCAATTTTACTTAGTATTATGTTGTTTTCAAACATAAATAAATTTATATATATTTGTATGTGTTTCTCAAGTGTCGTGTCCTATATTTTTTTAAAAAGTTACGTGTTCACATCAATATCACATCTGTGCCTGTGCTTAGATAATTAGCAACAATTCCCAATGTAACTATAAATATCAGAAATATCTCTTGCATAGACAGGTCTGCCATTCTGTAATGATCCGGAAACCTAATTCTTAGGGCAAATCATTGCACTCCATTTTGCTTGGAGCTAAAAGCAAGAGTTTGGTGTGTGTAATATCAATTTTAGCGGAAATCCCAACATCCACATATATTCAACCAAGGAAAATGATTTTTTTTTCAAATTTTGTCCCCCCTAATCCCCCGAATGTCCAAAATAACGTCATTTTGGGTATTCTTTTTTTTTCTTTTTCTTCTTCTTCTTCATGTAGGTGCAAGTCTGAGACAGAGGGAGAGGGAGAGGGAGAGAAAGAGAAAGAGGGAGAGGGAGAGGGAGAGAAGAGAGGCCGATCGTCGCAGCACTCCAGTCCAGTCCGATCGGCGGCCGATCGTCGCAGCTCACAGATCGTCGCAGCTCGTTGGCCGATCGTCTCCGCCTCGCCTCCGCCCCCTGCCCAGCCCGGTTGATGTTGGCCCCTCCAGTCCAGTCCTTCTTCTTCTTCCTCCTTCTCTTCTTTTTCTTCCTTTTTTGAATTCGGGGGATTCGCGGGGGGAGGGGGGGCTTTCAAGCTCCCTAGCACGACTCATTCAACCAAATTGTACCGATGAAATTTAAAACGACCTCGCTACGTAGCTCGAAAACGGAGAGCCCGAATGGCTCAAATTTTTTTTTATTCTTTTTCCTTCTCCTTCATTCTTTCTCTTCTTCCTTCCCTTTGGGTTTGTTGACTCACAGCCATCTCTCTCTCTCTCTCTCTCTCTTTCCTTCTTTCTGTTCTTCCTTCCCTCTCTTTTTCCTTGTGGGTTTGTTGAAAAAGCCACACAGCCCCCCCTCCTCTCTCTCTCTCTCTCTCTCTCCTCTCTCTTCTCAAACCCAAGGAAGAAGAAGAAGAAGAGATCAAAAAAATAATGGTTCAACCGAAGATCAAAATCAACACACACAAAATCAACACAGTTTGCAAAATCAAAATAAAAAAAAAAATCAAAAAGTTTGCAAAATAACCCAAAAAATCACAATAAAAATAAAAAATCGAAATAAATCAAAACAACCACAGTCGAAGAGTTCGAAGATCAAGCTTCGCCCTCTTCGTCCATGGTGGATCAAGCTTCCCTCTCCGTCCATGGCAGATCAAGCTTCACTGATCTGGAGTTTTGGACCTTGCATCATCGGATTTCAGAAATCGGGATGATTGGAGTAGGAATTGTTTGGAGGGAGAAAGGAGTTTTAGGGGTGATGAATTGCAGATTTGAGAAAGAAGAAGGAAGGCACATCGAAGATGGAGTGAGAAACAGGAAGAGAGAAAGGAGAGACAGAGGGAATGATAGAGAGAGGGTGAAAGAAATGGTAAACACATGAGAGAGAGAGAGAGAGAGAGAAAAAAAAAATAGACACTCGACTTTCGAGCTACCACGCATTTCTCAATTTAAAAAACAATAAATCTTCAAACTATGCCTACTCTAACTAATTCATAGATGATAGAACCTCAGTCTATTAATTTCTTCAGTGAAAATAAGGGAAATACTATGGTACACACCTTTATGCTAGGTTTAGTTGGAGAATTTAGGAAGAGATTTGGAAAGGGATAGGAAAAAGAAGTGTAAAACTAGGTAAAATTTACGTATATTTTATTCATATTTTACTTACTTTTTTTATTTTCCTTTTCAAATCTCTCCTCAAATTCTCCCACCAAACCTAGCATTAGTATAAAAAAAATGACATAACTTCAATTTTCTGCATCATAACCAAAGAAAAGAAAAAATAATTTAAAGAATTCACGAGTCATAACTAAAATAATAAGATCATAATTAAAGAACAAAATTGGTCGTAAAACTATATCTCCATACAAAAGCCAAGTTTGTTTGGTTTAATTTTCAGTCTGAATAAGGGATGGTTTGAGATGTTCTAAACAAGTGTACTTTTTGATTTTTTATGAAATATGCGTTGGGTATGGGTTGGGTTCGAGGCGATGTCATAGAGAGGTGACATGACTTAAATAAGATGATGTGACTTAAATAGAATAGTGACTTTTTGACTTTTTTAATATATGTCAAACAAGACTTAAATATAAATATTAAAAAATTAATTTGCTCCCAAAAAATACAAGGCCACAGCTTGTTTTTGAATTTTTCATTTTTTTCATCATATTAGGTTTTAGTTTTTTATTTATGACCATGTTAAATACCCACATTTTACATCCACAAATGCATCACAAGACGACAATATTAAATAACTACATTTTACGCCCACAAATACATCACGAGGACGTAGTAGGGTGGTGGTTCCATCATATCATTGAGTGGATAAACAATAAAAAATTCACACTTACCAGTCACATAATGGGTTGAATTGTGGAAGACGATCTAAAATATTTTTCTTTTATTTATTATTTAATTCAGAAAATTAATCCCGGAAACGCAAATTAGTATAACAAAATAAAAAAATACAATAAAATAAAATAAAATAAAAATTAAATCCTCGTAATAGAAATTCGTCCCCTTAGATTATAGAACACAAATAAAAGATTTACAGTGAATTGCACATAGCCCACCTCATCTTCGAAAGTTGTGGAATTGAATAATTGCATGAACAATACTAAAAACTCAGATTTAGAAAGGCGAGGAAAGTCAAAACGAAAAAGAAAAGAAAAGAAATAAAATAAAACATACGGAGTTACCTTCAAACCAGCAACTCCTCCTCCATAACAGTCGTACTGAACCGCATTCATGAGCTTCCCTGCCATTTTCTTTCACAAATCGCAATTTCTGAAGATTTCGTCAGACAGAGCAAAATATAGCAGTCTAGAGAGAGAGAGAGAGAGAGAGAGAGAAAAAGCGAGGAAAGTCAAAACGAAAAAGAAAAGAAAAGAAATAAAATAAAACATACGGAGTTACCTTCAAACCAGCAACTCCTCCTCCATAACAGTCGTACTGAACCGCATTCATGAGCTTCCCTGCCATTTTCTTTCACAAATGCAATTTCTGAAGATTTCGTCAGACAGAGCAAAATATAGCAGTCTAGAGAGAGAGAGAGAGAGAGAGAAAAAGAACAAAACTAAGAATCAAGCAGCGGCAATCTGAGTACAGAAAGTGATATTTTTGGTAGTGTTGTGGACCGTTAGTGCAACTGTTTCATCCACACGTGTCATCATCGTGAGCTTATCTCCTTTGTGAAATTGACGGTTATGGCCCTAATGACTTGCTTGCCAATCTACACCCGCGTAGCGTAGGATTCATTCTAATATATATAATGTTTTTTTTTTTTTAAACTTGATTTAGGAAATTGATTATTTTAGTTAGTTTTTTAATTTTTGAATGAATTACACTGAGATTCTGAGATTTGTTCTAATTATATTTCACTTCTTAACGTTTTGGAAATTACATACTTATTTTTGTAATTAATAATCTCATTTTATAAATCCCTACTTATATAAAAGGTAACAACTCGTAATAGAAAAATAGATAAAATTACATTAAAAAAAAAGGTAAAACAAAGGAAATGAGAGGGAAAAAAACAGATGAAGTAAAAACAAAGTAAGAAAAGAGAGAGTACATGAATTTAATGTTTTCATTTTGTCTAAATATTTACAATGACAAGGGGTTAGTGTAATTTTTTAAACGTCAGGGAATGATATGTATTACATTCAAACCTCATGAGATGTAAGTATAATTTACCCTTAATAACTATTTTAACTTGAGTAATGTTAGGGATTCTAAATATTTTATCAATATTTTTAATAAATTTCTCACTTGGATATGGAAATGTGATTTACATGGTGTGAGTCACATACCTATGTGGACATTTGATAAAAATATTGATAAAATATTTGGAGTCCTTAACATTTTTTTTTAACTTGGCTAAAAAAAGTTATGTTTGAAAAGGTGATTATTATTATTATTATTATTATTATTATTATTATTATTATTGTAGTTGATTTGATAATTGTGAAAGAAAAAGTGAAATAATTATAATTTGAATGTGATATTTTATTTTATGAATTATTTTAACTTATTTATCTTTATTAATTATTTTAACTAAAAAAAGAGTCATTGGGCCATTGAACGCGATAAGGGGTTGTTTGGGGTATTCTTAGTAAGTGCACTTTTTAAAATTTTTAGACTAAAAAGTTGAGGGAAAAAAAATGATTGCTTGGATTAGCTTTTTGACTTTTTACGAAAAAATATATATTAAAAAATTGTATAAATTAATATGTAGGAGAAGATAAGAACAGTAAGCAGTAGGCCGTACCGTATGGGGGAGACAAGATATGGTTGCCTACTTTTCAGGCATTGCATTGGACGGTGTTGTTCGGTCCGTGGAGGCCATCACAGGTCCTGTTTTGATAATTTGAACCGTTCAATGTGTAGAACTCGTCGAGTAGTATATGCTTGTAAAAAATCACGTTGATAGCTATCTGATCGGATTAGTTTTTTTTCAAACGTTAACTATAACACCATTTATTTTTTTATACAAAATTGATTTAATCATATAGTTAGCGATATCCGATCAATGTGATTTTTTTAAAAACATATAGTACTCGACGAGTTCTACATATTGAACGGTTTAGATTATCAAAATGGGACCCTTGATGGGCCCTACGGGCCGAACAACACTGTGTTGTTTGTGCACCTCGCCTGTGCAATTTTTCCAAATCATTTCAGCAACTTAGCAACAGTTTGTGGGACGATTCAAACTGAGTTGTAAAAATTTGTATGTAAAATTATTTATTTATTTTTTTGGTGAATAGTGATAACTTTTTAACTTCTTTTAGTAACTTTTTGACTTTTTGAAATTTTGTTAGTATCCCAAACCTGCCCTAAATTGCAAGAAAATCACCGACATTGGGCGTTCGAATCAGGATAGTGTGAGGAATATCAAATTTTCTACCAAATGAATGATCAAATGTCTCATATGGATGTAGGGTAAGTGTGGACTTACACCCATATGAAACCTTTGATCATTCATTTAATAAAAAATTTGAAACCTATAACATTTTTTTTCGAACCATGATAACGTGCCAATTTCATGCAATACCTTGAATACATAAGACTATAAAAATATAATTTTAAGACTACATTTTTAATTTTAATTAAAAACAATGTATTTTTGTAGATGATTTGAAATACTAAAAAAATTGAATGTTAAATGATACATAAATGTGATTCTTTAATATTATTCTAGATTTAACATGATAAAATTTTCTATTTTAAGTAATAACATAATAATTTAAATATTTCAAACAATGCATTTATAACATGATAAAAGCAATTTATTAAGTAAGAATAATTTATAATATATACATAAATGTGATTCTTTAATATTATTCTAGATTTAACATGATAAAATTTTCTATTATAAGTAATAACATAATAATTTAAATATTTCAAACAATGCATTTATAACATGATAAAAGCAATTTATTAAGTAAGAATAATTTATAATATATACATAAATGTGATTCTTTAATATTATTCTAGATTTAACATGATAAAATTTTCTATTATAAGTAATGACATAATAATTTAAGAGTCATGATAGAGACCCCCTCTAATCACCACCCCCACAACCCCACAGACACGTGGCGGGTGGTGATTGGAGGAGCAGGAAAAAAAGAAAAAAGAAAAAAAAAATATAACCAATGAGAGAGAGAGGGTGTCAAAGGGGGTGGGAGGAAAAGGGGCATGAAACATTTTTGATAATTTAAATATTTCAAACGATACTTTTATAACATGATTTGAAATACTAAAAAAAAGTGAATGTTATTTAAAGTGTTACATTGAATGATACATAAATGTGATTCTTTAATATTATTCTAGATTTAACATGGTAAAATTTTCTATAATAAGTAATAACATAATAATTTAAATATTTCAAATGATACTTTTATAACATGATAGAAGCAATTTATTAAGTAAGAATAATTTATAATTTTTACGTATTTTGATAGATTTTTTTTTTTCTTTCAAAATGTAAACACTTAATAATTTATAAATTTAATCACAATGAAAATGACCCTCGAAATCATGTTCTTAAGTTTTCTCCACGGCACGATTTGGTAAATTAATTAATTTTCAATTTGAAAGAGGCAACGATACCTCAAGAAACTATTTTTTTGGGTAGACGACATCAATGACATCATAATTCATCTATCAATTAACAAATTTTATACATCTCACATCATTATTTTTCTCTATCATCATACTAAAAAATAAGGTTTTTTTGGTGAGTTCCCGTTCCTATTGGGCCTTTTTTTATGTAAATGATATGGAATAAATTAATGTTGTCAAAATTCTTCAAAATTAAAAGATAAGTTAAAAAGATAAGAATACCCTTGCATATATATGGGTAATAGTATGTAGTTGAGAAGCTCTCTTTCTTTTACAACTCTCTTTCTCTCTCCACCAACTCTACCATCGATGTTTGATCATTGCCTATACCATCTCCATCATCGGTCATCCTCACCGTTGGCCCGCATCGCTCATCCTCACCGTTGGCCGGCGACCACCATTTTTACTATCAACCATCACCATCTCAGATTTGATGCCTATGAACTCATGTTTGAAATCAATAACTTTAAATTTGAGATAAAATGACCTCATATATGTCAAAAAGATAATAAATTGATATATTACAATGAAAAATCGAGAATTTTTTGTTTGTTTGTTCATAGTTCTAAAATAAAATTCGACTATAACTCCTTTATCTAGTATATACTCTGTTTTCGTAAGAGTAAAATTTTACTCTAGTTAATGAAAAATAAAATTTGTTCTCTTATGCTATTTGCACTACAAAAATTTTAGTTTTTTTCGACGGCAAAATGCCGTCGCTAATACTCCTAATGCCGTCTCAAAAAACTTTTAGCGACGACAAATGACTTTTAGCAATGACAAGTGTGAGCCACAACAGAGGACGTTGCTAAAACGTTTTAGCGACGACATGGTGTCGTCGCCTTTTTTTTGCGACAACAAATGTGGCCTTTTGCAATGACATGTTACCATCACCTATAATATGTAAAAAATTGAGACTTTTTGCGACAACAATGTTGTACCATCGCTAAAATTTTTATTTGAGACGGCAAAAAAATGTTGTTACAAAATGTTTTCTGTTGCGACGACATGACCTCTATCGCCAATTCCTTTTGTGACGACATTGCCTATGTCGCCAAAAAAACATTTTAGTTCTAATGTTTTTTGCGACAATGTGGTGTCATCGCCAAAAAAAAAAAAAAGAAAGAAAAAAGAAAAAAAAGAGCCCTGCAATGAAATTATTAAAAATATTCAAATTACCTGTATTAAATGAAAGAAAATTTGAAAAAGAAACCAATAATTACATAATAATATAAAAATTCCTGTATAGAAATAATAATTTCTCCAGAATAAAAATATTCTTACATTCATAATTACACATAAGCAAATTTGCCCCACTACATAATGTTCTATAATACATATATAATGTTTAATTACATAATATTGTTCACAATTCAAAATAACATAAACCAAAAACAAAAGTTTTCCACATCATTCTCCGTGGGTAACAAAAACAAAAGTTAGTCGCATTCTTCACAGGCATGCATTCCACAAGAAGCAAACTCCTACTCGGGAAATATCTGAAAGCAAAAAACAAAAATAATTAATGATAATATAATTATGTGCTAATATGTTAATTACAAAAAAAACATAAAAATTTAACTACTATACAATTACAAAGATAATTAAGTAAATAATTTTGCCTAGACCGAAATCCGACTCTAATTTCTAAACCGGGAACCCGATTCGAGTCACGTCTTCTCCCACAAGTCTCTCGTCCTGTCGTGTGTGCCAAGTTTCATGCTAATCTGACGCTGTTTGGCCATTTTGGGGCTTCAACACCTCGAATTTTAAGTTTCCTAAGGAACTAATTCGCCTAAACCGAAATTTGGCTCTAACTCCCAAATCGGGAACTTGATTTGAATCCCGTCTTCTCCCACAAGTCTCTCGTGCCTAAGTGGTCGTGTGTGCCAATTTTTGTGCTAATCCGACGCCGTTTGGTGATTTTGGGGCGTCAACACCTCGAATTTTAAGTTTTTTAAGGA